CTCTTTCATAGATAAAAATATTAGATCGATCCATTGTTGGCGCATCGAGAGCGGTGACTCGACATTCTGGCAAAAACAGCTGAAAATGAGAAAAAATAGTAAAAAAATCCAGTCCATTTTTTAAGTCATTTCGATATCAAAACTTGTCGGATAGAGCTGAAAATTTCAAGATCTACATAACTCGATGTCCTCTATAACATATCAAAGAATCAGCAAATTCTGGAATGTCGCTCCATCGTCGGTGTCTGAGTCTCTCAGAGAATCGCTCTTAAGGATTTGTAAATTACTATCCAAAGACTTTTTATTCGTTATATTGTATCAAATTGAGAATGCATCAATGTCAACATCTGTCGGAATCGTTCTACATATCGAATACAAGAAAGTTTGAAATTCAAGAAATTAAACTAAAAGTACACTTGTAAATCGAAGTATTATAGAAACTAATCATAGACGTTACTAATTTTGTGTAGCTAAAAAAGCGGAATTAATGAAAATACTAATATATTCTAAAATTGATCATTACGTAAATACCAATAATTTGAATCAATTGATTTCGAATGAAACATGTGTCGAATATTCTGTACACAGAAAGGATGTTCTCTGAAAATGAAAATTCACAAGTAGCTCTGTATCTCTGTCTATAACATAATACAAATAGCTACAAAGTAACTATTAAACCTCAAGATCAGCTATCTGTTTCTGGTACCCCAATTGATTCAGAATGAAATAAATCGTAAGCATATTCCTTTTACAACAAAAGGTTTCTATAAAATGGAAGGTAACGATTACCTCAGAAACTTATCGAAACATGGTACTAGATTCATTATCACGATGATCTTTCTGAGAAATAAGCTTAATTTTCAAATAGTGAGAGAGACTATCAAGCTTATGGAAAATATAATGATTTGTCATTTGTTTAACTTGACAAAAAGTGAAATTTTTTTAACGTGGCTAAAAGTATAACTTAAAAGTAGTATTTGTTTCCGTTACCACCATGTGAAAAAAAAACTTTAAATAAACTTCTAGCACAAACCAAAAACTCAGCTCATTCGGGGAACTCGAAGTGAAGGTATTTCAATTTTTATTATAGCACTATTGATAGCTTACTCTGTACAGTCTTACAGATGAAAACTAAATTCATCTTAAATTAGATTCCAAGCAACCCAACTTTATGGGAACTCTTGATATACTCTCGATGCAAAAACTGAATGCGTAAAAACACGTGCATTTTACTATTTCGCTTTTGTTAAATTTGACCGAGTAAAGAGAACAGTATCCTGAAAGATCGTTAAGGAATTCCCAAGTTTTGCCGTCGAAAAGTTCTTATTAGGATTAGAACTATTTCTGCAAGGATTCGACATACTCTTAAAGCCCGTCAAAAAAGTTCGTAAATGTTATCATGAAAGTTCTAAGAGCAAGCATGAATCAAATTCCTAAGATCGTTATAGAATCTTGACAAGTCTATAAGCTTGACATTCTAACGTATCATCTGACTTTCTTGCTACAATTTTCATCTAGAGTTTATAGAATTCATTGCATACCTTTCTAGCAGAACAGCTTGGAAATCTGATAATAGCGTACTAGTATCGTTTCTACCTCTCTCAGTAATATCCTACCTTCAAATTATGAAAAAAACTCTTCAGCTCATCCTTTCAGAAAGCTAACTAAATCGTTATCTCTTCCCATGGAAAACTTGAAGAAGATTAGCCGTTGTCTTCTCAATATTTCAAAAATGTTTCTTGCCGAAAACATGTTCCTAACAATGTCAAACTGCTGGTTTCTTTACGATCTAATGAATCTTGGCAAGAACTTATACAAGTGCTTAGAAACACGGATTACAATAGATCCTGCTAGGATTTCTCAAGGAATGAACTAGATTGAGATTAGAGAAGTGATATTAAAGTGAGAATGATTGCGAAGCTCTTTTTATCGGAAACTAGGAAAATGTTCGGAAATTTTTATCGGCCGGAATGGCGTTTTGCTCGTTTAGAGTATGTTAGGAGAAAGAAGACAACTGTTTTATTTGTAACACTTTCTTCCGTGACAAGGTTCGCTCTTGTAGATAGCGATGACGGCATTTCCTTTTCTTTTTCGTTCATTGTAATGATTGCTAATATTCGAGGCAATCATCGATGGGCACTAATTAGGATTGATATCTGTGTACCCATGATTCCAAATCCTTATTATTGATATTCTCGTGACAATATTCAGGATAAGTTAGCTTAAAGAACCATTGTCACCACAAGCACTACATTAGGATTACAACAGATTTTGATAGAAGCCATTATTTAGTCTCTAAGATTCTCTTCTACGGTTCTAATACAATGGTTTCAAGCTGATTTTCACTAGAACCTAATAATAGCTTTGTAAAACACGTTCTGACAACCCCTTTAAGATTCAGCCTTTCCAAATGAAAAGTGGGAAGTAGTAGATTCCCAAAATTGTCGACGAAGCCCTGCCAAGTTTTCTTAATGTCGTATTCATAAAAACCTTTTCATGATCTTGCTGAGACCATATCATGATTGCTCTTCAAACAGCTTAACACAAGTTGACAATCATTTAGTGAAATCTCATTGGTATTCTTTACGTGAATATTTAGAAGGCCCTTTGACATATCAGGATTCATTGTGGAAAGAATCTTCAAGGATGAATACTGAATTTGTAAGGTTCTCCAAAACTAGAGGTATTAGAATCGATGTTTGTTGTTAAAGGATTCCACACTTTCCTAGCAAGATGCAGATTGAATCTGTTCAAGACTTTTTCAGTGTATGAGTCTTATAGAGTTCATTATTTTATTGTTTGAGTCCTTATCTAGCATTCATATAAATCCTTCAAGAATCAAAGCTTCTTGGTACGCTTTCCGGATGATTTTCAAAAGATGCTGCATTCTCACAATTCTGAATAAAATCCTCACATCCCAAGGCTTTCTTATGGAACATTTGCATCGAATAAGCATTGTTCTTTCTCCGAAAATCTCCCTACAGCAATTCCCAGTTATAGACTTCATCTCAAGTGAAGACTCTATCTTGTGACATCTAAAAGATTTTGGCAGCAAGTAAAACCGACATAAATGTGAGAATCGTTACAAAATCCTCTTTTTTATAATGAAACTAGGAAAAGTTTCTGAATTATTACCTGGGTACAGAATAGTGTCGAAAGCTTTATCGTATTTCCTTTTACGGTAAATGTTGAGTTTGTAGCTCTTGTTTTCGCACGAGAGAGGGGATCTCTTCGACAACAACGATCACGATTCCTTTTCTTTTTCGTTCATTGCAGTAATTCCCAATATTCCAGTCAATGTCCGATGGGCACAAAATGGGGTGACCGTTGCTGGAGGACATGGGCGAGGTGATGCCACCAATCAACTCAACAAACCTTATGGTATCTTCGTTGATCATGATCAAACGGTGATCATCGCTGACGACTCCAATCATCGCATCATCCAATGGAGGATGGGTGATACAGATGGACAAGTGGTAGCTGGTGGCCATGGTAAAGGAAATCGATTGGATCAATTGAATAGTCCTACAGATGTGTTGATTGACAAAGAGACGGATAGTCTCATTGTTTGCGATTATGAAAATCGACGAGTCGTACGTTGGTCTCGCCGCAGCGGAACAATTCAAGAAGTCCTCGTCGACAACATAGACTGTGTCAGATTGACCATGGATAATCAGCGATGTCTTTACATCTCTAACTACAAGAACCATGAAGTAAGACGATATCAGAGAGGGAGTAAGAATGGAACTATCGTAGCTGGTGGCCATGGTAAAGGCGATGGTCTTCACCAATTGAATAACCCGACCGACATCTTTGTTGATCAACAAGAGGCTGTCTACGTGTCAGACCATTTCAATCACCGTGTGATGAAATGGACTAAAGGTGCAAAAGAAGGAATTATTGTCGCGGGTGATCGAGGTCAAGGGAAGGCTCTAACACAACTGTCGAATCCTAACGGACTGTTCGTCGATACGTTGGGTACCCTTTATGTGGCAGACTCGGGAAATCATCGAGTGATGCGTTGGCCTCAAGAAGCTAAACAAGGCACTGTCATCATAGGTGGAAATGGGAAAGGAGCAGAAGCAAATCAGCTGAACTGGCCCTTGGGTTTATTCTTCGATCGACATGGTAATTGCTATGTCGTCGATCAAAACAACGCTCGTGTGCAGCGGTTTTCCATCGAATAGACCAATTACGGTGCACTTTTTGTTTTTCGTTCCTTTTGTTCATATAAACAACGTTGAATTGATGAAAAGAATGACTGTTTTATTTGCGCGCACACGACTAGAAACTACCTTGGTAGGCTCATGACGATCGTGAAGCTCATGCACGCATGAAGCAGACTGAAATTATCCACATGAGATGTGTCAAAGAATCTATCGGATATTTCGTCGTCGACCACAGATACCAAGATAGTTCCTAGTCAAGCTATAAGGGTTTACGTGATAGATCTACATATTAACATGGTGTGGGGTGGATTGTGAATGTTGATAAAGAGTAAATCCACACTGACACTCAAAACATAGTAATTAACATCCTACAAGCATAACATTCCCAAGTATCAATTTACCTTCCAGTCGGAACTTGGTACGTCTTATAGATCTTAATATACTAGATAGAACACTATAAAAGTGTTTTCATGCGACCCCCATAAAAGCTGAATATTAATGTTCACTCTTGTGCAATAACATATAGACATATTTAGGATTACGTGCAAAATTTTCGAACTCTAAGGTTTGCACAACGTGCTATTCTTACATTCTTTCAGCTCAATTATACGTTATTTTTTTAAATAGCTTATAAAAGATCGATTTCAAACTATGATTTCATGTGAACAGAAAATTGATTAAATGTCATGAATTGCAACTGATGAATTTTATGTTGCTGGTTCAAGTCGTCGTTTAGCTGCTGTTAATACAACGTTTCATCATCTACTGATGAATTTCCCGTACATCAATTTTAATGTTGTACTCGATATTATCACGAGTGATCGACCATCATTATTTCATTGAAATAGATAATACTAGTTATAGTCAAATGCTATATGTCAATCTGAAGGTACTTAAAGTTTATCGAAACAAAAGTTCAGACATAGTAGACAAAAGCTTGCCTGTCAATATCTGCGTAGCATAAGCTTTCAGACTATATCAGAAAGAAAAATAAAAGATCGGTCTTCAACGTCTCACGAGGAAACATATCCAACTGTTGGAGGATGTGGTTGTCTTCTTTTTACTAACAATCACACCCAGATTCTTACTCTCATTGAACTCTAAGCACAGTCAAAAGATGGAGTCGAGCAATTTTCGACAGTTAGATATATTTCTTCGTTAATCTTTTGAAGTTTTTTAAGAATTAAAAAACTTAAGGAGTAAGATAAACGGTTTTCCGATAAATATATTAAATAACAATTTCCTATGTACTACATAATAGTCACATTACAATTCAACAAATTGAAAATATTTGAATTTTATAATAATGAGTTCGAAAATGAAAGTCTTGTCTAAAAATTTAGAAGAATCTTTGCATCTAGAATTTTTTGAAAGGCCTTTATTTTTTTATATATGTATAATCCACTATAATGGTTATATCTGTCACTTTTATCTATAAAGAAAATAATACACACAATATGAAATTAGCACAATAAATTGAGAACCAAGTCTCAAGCCAAACACGATGTTTAGAAAGGAAAAGCTATGATAAATATTAAAAAGCTGTTCATGACAAAATGCAGGCTTAAAGAATTGTAATTCTGATTTTCCATGGAGGTTACTTTGGCATATATATATAAACGTCAATAATCGTTAACGGGTTAATATGACATTAGTATTTATTCTTCTATTCTATTTTCAATGATATTTTATTATTCAATCAATTAACAACGAATAGTTATATTGTCGAAACAAATATTTGATTGTACAATTGAATTTTGAGTTTAAATAGTCTGAAGATTTCTGACATCATACTATTTCTATTGATGATCATAATTGACTTGAAAGCATCCTACAAATTCTTTTCACTATTTCAGATTTCATAGATAATGTTAATGAAATTTTTCTTGTATAAATATTTCATTTATAAAATCGATAATGTCTAATTTTTCTATTATGTTAATTTAAAAAAAAAACAGCAAAACAAAGAAGAAGAAAATACCAGGCACATACATGAAAAAAAAAAACAAACTGCATATATGAAAAAGATAAGAAAAAAACACATGTGTATGAGTATATGAGTGTATATTGGGATTGTAATCCACCACCTAATACTTTTTTTTCTATAATAAAATTTTTAGAAAGTTTTCTCTCAATAATTACTCAACATTTATCACGTACATAAGCCATGATGATGATAATTGATGATATAAATAGTAGAAAAGATATCGACATATTTGTGAAAAGAAAAACAAAAAAACTGTTCGAGAATAGATACAAATCAAGAAATAAAAATTGTTCTTTTTTGTATTAAATAAAAAAAAAACTTAGGTGATAAACACAGGATAAGAATGTAGAAAAATTTCCGAAAACAAAATGCAAAAAAGAAAACCTATTCTCACTCTCTCACTCTTTCTATGATATGTTAAGCTTTTGCAACACGTTTTTTATTTTCATCATCTAATGGTTTAGTTGATGATCGTACAAGACTAAAAGAAGATATTTATTTATTTATTTATTTTTCAAAAACAAAATTTTTTTTATTTCTTACGGATCATTTGCATGATCATTTTCTTCATCATCTGTTGTAATTGGTTTTCTTGCTGATCTTTCACGTTTTTCAAAAACTAATATAATAATAACTAGTACAAGAACAATACCAACAATACCAAGAAATGGCCAAAGTGCTGCTAATCGATCTGTTAAAATAAAAACAAAGGTAAAACTTTGAAAGAGAAAAAAAATTAATTAAATAAACCTTTAACACGTAATAAAACTATAGATGAAACATCATTAACTGAACATCGATAATATCCTCGATGATGTTTTTCAATACGATCAATTATTATTATATCTTTACTTGAAGTTATAACACTATCAGGTAATTTACTATATGTCTCATCATTTTTACTGAATTCCCATTTTATATCATTGACACCTTGTTTTCCTTTTCGAGTTGATTCAATAATACATTTAAGAGTAATTCGATCACCTTGAGAACGTCTTACAGATCCATGAGGAGAATCTATTTTTTCATCAGGTCGATCTGATTCAATACCTTGTGGTGCTGCATGAACTAAAAAACAAAAAAGGATTCATAATTTGTCTTTTTTTTCTATTAAAATTAAATAATGATATTAAATTTACTTATTATTGGACCAAATTGACATTCTATTGGTTCTTCAAAACCTGGTTTCTTTGTTTTAACAGACCATTTTTTAATGTCAGCATCTGCTTCAACTTTAAAATAGAAAAAAAAAACAAACAAACTTTCGTTTTTTTTTTGTCTGTCTCTTTCAAAAACTTCTTTTTTTTGTTTTATGTTTACCAAAAATTTTTATAGTAAGTCTTGATTCTTTCTTAGTATTATGAATAATATAATGTCCCGGTTTTTCTTTATATACAGATACATCATCTCTATACCATTCAAGAAATTCTCCATCATGATCATCACCATGATATTCACATTTTAAGTCTAATGAATGTTTTATAGCTGCTTTAACTTGAACACCTTTTCCAGGTGATCTCACATAGTCACCATTTGATAATACGAAGATATTTAATACTAAATCGAATAATTTAATAAAAAATATTTTATAAAAAATTTGATACCTGTCAAAAAAATGAAATACAATAGTGTATTTGCCATGATTTTTAAATTAGGGAATAGAAAGAGTAATAAGTCTGATTGTATTGACGGTATATTATTGTTTATTTATTTATTTATTTTCTTAATTTATTTACTTATGTTTTTCTTATTTTTTTTGTAAATTAATTTTGTTTTTCTATTTATTAAATAAATTAAAAAAAAATAAATAAAACATAATTTAATAAAATTTAATTTTTGTTTTTTTGTTTTTACATGTTTCTCATTCGTTAATAAATTAATCAATCAAATACGAGAGAAAGATTGTTGTTTTTATCATATTATTATATAGGTGATCAACAGTTTGCAATCACGAGTATTATTTATGATGAATATTTATACTAAATTTATTTTTCGATTACCATCCAATGTTGGACGTCTTCTTCTACAACAACAACAAAAAATTAATTCATCTATACCATTAGTAAAAAAAAACAAATATTTTCATTAAAATTTTGCAAATTGTTTTTTTTGTTATTAGCTAACAACTTCTATAAGAGAAGCAAGTACTGGTTCAGCACTTGAATATGATGCACCAAATGCTTATAAACTTCATATGCTTGATCAAGGACCAAGTACTCATGTATCTTGTACTCGTGATGAAGGTTTAGAATTTTATAGAAAGATGCAAGTTGTACGTCGAATGGAAGCATCAGCTAATAATATGTATAAAGCAAAATTAATACGAGGTTTTTGTCATTTATATTCTGGACAAGTACGAAATATTTCTATTATATAATTAAATATTATGTTCATTGTTTATAGGAAGCTGTTTGTGTTGGAATGAAAGCAGCTATGGATAAAAATGATTCATTAATAACTGCATATCGTGCTCATGGTTGGACTTATATGATGGGTGTATCAGTAACTGGTGTACTAGCTGAATTAACAGGTAGAAAATCTGGTTGTGCTGAAGGAAAAGGTGGTAGTATGCATATGTATGCACCAAATTTTTATGGTGGAAATGGTATTGTTGGAGCTCAAGTACCACTCGGTGCTGGAGTATGTTATTTAAGATTTTTGTTTTTTTTTCAAAATACAAAAATAAATTTTCTTTTTGTATTTTATTTATCTAGGTAGCTTTAGCACATAAATATCGTGGAGAATCAAATGTATGTGTAACATTATATGGTGATGGAGCTGCTAATCAAGGACAAGTTTTTGAAGCATTTAATATGGCTAAATTATGGTTATTACCATGTATATTTGTATGTGAAAATAATGGTTATGGTATGGGTACAAGTACAGCACGTGCTAGTGCTAATCCAAATTTTTATAAACGTTGCGAATATATACCTGGTATATGGGTTGATGGTATGGATATTCTTGCTGTACGTGAAGCAACAAAATTTGCACGAGATTGGTGTATATCAGGAAAAGGTCCAATTATTATGGAAATGGCAACATATCGTTATTTTGGTCATTCAATGTCTGATCCAGGAACAAGGTATAAAAAAATAGAAAATAATATTTTATTGTATCTCTATCATTATTTGTAAAAAAAAGTTCAGATTTTAATTTCTATTAAATTAAATAATTAATAGTTTGATTATATAATTTTAGTTATCGAACTCGTGAAGAAATTCAAGATGTACGTAAAAGTCGTGATCCAATAACATCATTTCGAGAAAAATTGCTCAATGCTAAAGCAGTAACTGAAGAAGAATTTAAAGTAATATAAAAATAATATGTTTATATATATTAATTTTCTATTACTTAGGATATTGATAATGAAGTAAAAAAAATAATTGAAGATGCTGAAAATCATGCACAAAATGATCCTGAATTACATGTTGATGAATTATATTCTCATGTTTATTCAGTTCCACCACCAAATTTTAAAATACGTGGATGCGATAATTTTACCTATAAAGAAATCTCAAAATAAAATATAAAAAAAAAAAAAGACATTTTAGAACAAAATATATGTATCTTGTTATTCTCATTATAAACAATTTTGTTTGTATTCGTCTTATATTGTAGGAAAAAAAAAAGAACCGCATAGACCTTAAACAAATATATAAAAAAATTATATAAAATCATGCTTCTATATTCAATTATTTTAGATCAAATAAATGAGTACAAATACTGAACAAGAAAAATCAACAGTTGAATTACCATCAACTATTTCAATTGAAAATGAAAATCCATCACTTATATCATCAACAACAACAACAGATGATAATTCGACTACTCAAGTTCCTATAGTTGAAGAACAACATTCAACATCATCATGGTTTGATCATTTTGGTTTATCATCAAATTTAACAAATCAATTAACAAATATAAGTTCATCAATTATGCAAGTAACTTCAAAAGTAGGTGCAGTTGCTAATACACTTGTTCATAAAACATTACCACAACGACCATCATCACCAATTGAAAATCAACAATCAACGGATACAACAACAAATATTGAAGATGATAAACAAACTTCAGAAGAATCTACAGGCATGGCTGGAATCAACAAAGATCTGACTAGTATGTAACTATTATTCAAAATGATTAGCTATATCTAATACTATTCTTACAATGGAGATGTTTGTGTTGTAAGTTAAATCGACTAGACATATTCAGGTCAAATGGAAGCTCTCACCTTCAAACTAACAAGGTTAAAATATTAGCGACCCTTGGCTTGCCTAGAGGGAGATATTTAACTTTTAAATTTAAGTATAATAATGAATCAGGAAAGGTTTTCTCCACTATTATAAGGATAAAACATAGTGTTGTTCGGGCCGATTATGGAGTTTGTAGGGACCCTCTTTCATATGGCCCGAACAACACCATGTTTTATCCTTATAATAGTGGAGAAAATCTTTCCTGATTCATTATTATACTTAAATTTAAAAGTTAAATATCTCCCTTCAGGCAAGCCAAGCGTCGCTAATATTTTAACCTTGTTAGTTTGAAGATGAGAGCTTTCATTTGACCTGAATATGTCTAGTCAATTTAACTTACAACACAAACACTTCCATTGCTAGTAATATATAACAGAAGATTTTTTATTTTTAAGTATTTTATTTAAGTATAAGAAAATTTAAAAATATTCGTTGAGTTCTACATTTTAATCTTAAAGAAGATTGTATTGTAATTTATCTTTATTTTTTTTTTGCATTATTGAAACAACCTGGGATCGGATTCGTCCTATAATTCCTATAATAACCTATATTTTTGAAAAATCCTATATTTCAATCCCTATTCCTATTTTTCCTATATTTTATCAAAAACACTGGAAAAATTTCACAAGATTTGATGTGCCTTGAGGGGGAGTACAGGAGTCTTCGCGGCGCTCCCCTCGCCTCGGTCATCACGTTTTACGAAAAACTCAGACAATGAGAATAGGAGGTAAAGCATATATATTTGAGGTACGGCTCGACCTACAATACCTAAATTTCGGTTAGTTTTTTTAGTGAAAATAATCATAAAATTCAGAAAACGAAATCCTATATAGGAATTCCATTTAATTTCGAAAATTTGTAGTCTGAGGCCAGGAAACAATGATCGTTTTATTATTATAAAATTAATATATGAATTATTTATTTAGGTATATTTAATGATCTAAGTTCAACTGTAATAAAAGGTGCACAACAATTAAAACATGTTGTTGAAGAAACATCATTAATTGGTGATTTTACAAAAGAACATGAAAAATTTGTAATTGAAAAACGTACACAACAACGTCGTGAAGAAGCAGCTGTTCCACCTTGGGTTGGTTATGTTGAAGAAGAAGAAATGAAAAAACAAATTTTAGCACTTTCAAAAGTTAAAAATTTTTTGTTATGAAAAATATAAAATGATTAATCATTTTTTTTTGTTTTTAAATTTTGTAGGAAAAACGTAATTTTCTTCGAAATCCACCACCAGGTGCTAATTATCATTTTGATATGACTTCTTTATATCCAGTTGCATTAGCAACACTTGAAGTAGATGAAAATTTAAAACAAATGCGTTTTGATCTTGTACCAAAACAGTATGATTTTCTTTTTTTGTTTCTTGTTTTATTTATTAAAATAAAAATTATTATGATATTTAGAATTAATGAAGAAATATTTTGGCGTAATTATTTTTATCGTGTTAGTTTAATTAAACAATCGACTCAATTATCGGCTTTAGCACATGAAAATGGTATTGATTTAATATGTTTTTTTTTCTATTATGTATAGATCTATTTGTTTCTAGCAAATATTTCATCGACTGATGAAACGCATGGTGTATCAGATATGCGTAGTAAGTCAAAAGAATGTTTTACAAATGAACAAATACAACTATCGAACAATTTTATAGATTATTGAAAATAAGAGATTTTGTCTATAGGCAGATTTAATACTTAGAGCAAACCAAAAGTTCGTAGAACGGTTTTTGAAGAACCTTGTCGGATAAGGTAACCTATTCAGAAATGAAAAACCAAATATATCATGTTGTAGAACTTTTTGAGGCGCGTCGAATGGTATATAATAAATCCTGTTTTCATAAGACTTTGAAGGAACTAGAGTCAATTTACTGCTAGACGACTACGCGCCCATACTCATACCCTCATCTAAGTATGATAGGTTACTGAATATTGTGGTTCTTGGGATTAGTCGAAAGTATTTGTAAAATATTTTTTCTCAATACGATTTTGCAGAGTTTTTGATGGGCTACAACCTCATATATGTAGCATCTCCGGTCATCTTGTCAGTGTGGGTGTGTAGTCGTCTATCAGTAAATTGACTCTAGTTCCTTCAATGTCTTATGAAAACAGGATTTATTATATACCATTCGACGCACCTTAAAAAGCTCTACAACATGGTATATTTGGTTTTTTATTTCTGAATATGTTACCTTATCTGACAAGGTTCTTTAAACACCGTTCTACGAACTTTTGGTTTGCTCTAAGTAGTTTCAACGAAAATACGTATATTTTTCATAAGATATATTGAATTTTGAATGTTCATTTGTTGTGTTTTGTTTATAGTTAATAATAATAGTGAATTTTATACTGAAATATGAATTAGTATTCATAAGATTTATATAAACAGTTCTATTAAAAAATTTCATATATTGTTTAATTTTTATTCTATTTTATATTTCAATATTATATTATAATAATTTTGAATTTAGATCGTACAACATCTGATTCACATGATAAAACTCAAGATGGAAATCAAGAATTTGTTAGTGAAGATTATGATGCATCAGCTGTTAGTATGGATGATATTCGACGTGAAATTGAACAATTAACTGAAACAAAACCAAATTCAAATAAAACAAATCCAACTAAAGCTGGTAGTCCAGGTAAAATATATGTTTTTATTATTATTATTATTATATATATTCACGATGTGTTCTAATGAAATCTGCCATAATAAAAGACTCGAATAATTCTTATACAATTCAAGCTATTTAAATGAAATTTTTATTCAATATATTGAATCGGACTAGTTGTGTTTATATCAGAGATGTCCATCGCGGTTGAAAACTGACCGCTGCCACGACGCCACCAAAAATAACCATGCCGCGATGATTGTTAGAATAATGTTGTGAATTTTACAATCTGTGACTGTTCAGGACTAGAGCTGTTGTTACTAATCGATAAGATTCGTTGAATCTCATAGTTTTTCACTTGGAAACATTGAAATTCTGTTCGAATTCATGCATTTTTGCATTGTTCTCCAAAAAAACCTACCGCTGTCGCGCCGCACCGCGATGGTTATTTGAAAAAAACAACCGCTACCGCGTCGCCACAGCGGCAGCGGCGCGGTGGCGGTAGCGGCAGCAGTCGCGCCGCGATGGACATCTCTGGTTTATATTTATCAGTTAAGGAAAATTTTATACAAGAATTAATATACAATACTTCCGGTTCATATAGAAATCCTATCGTATGAAACTATGAAAAAACTTCATTATATTTTCTACATCGAGTCGGGTTAGTAAACTCGACTAATCCACTATTTATAATTAATTCGATATGTGTTTATTTATCACGCAATCTTTATTTAGCATTTTTTGTTTTTCCTCTGATATTTATTAGTGTAGAAATATTTTTTTTTTTTGTCAAAGTTGCTAAATAAAAATTTATGAAGACTAAGATCAACTTATAGAAAATTGTTTGAATTGTAAAAGATTTATTTTCGAGTTTTGTTTTTTTTTACCATGGTGGATTGTTTGAACCACCAGTATATTCATTTTTTGAAGATTTAGATGACAATGAATGGGATAAAGCATTGGCTGATGAACTTGAAAATGTTTCTGCTGAAGAACTTGAAGCACAAATAAATCAAATGTTAGCTGGTGATAAATAAATAAACATTTCTTTTTTTTTGCTTTCCAATGTACAATTTAAACAATAAAATTTTAACATGCTCTTGCTTTCTTCTTTTTTCTTATTATTATTATTATTATTATTATCGAAGCAGTGAATATATGCTGTCGTTTTTTTTCTCTCTTTGCTTTCTTCTTCAATAATATTGTAAATAAAAATATAACACACTTTTTTTTAATTAGTTAGTTTAAAGTAATAAGCAATAAAGAAAGAAAATAAACAAGACTACATTTTGACATATTTATTATTCTAGAAGTATATAATAAAAACAACAAAATGAATAGAGCAAATCAAGAGCAACGGAATGGTTTGTAATGTCTTTTAAACCTTGAAAAATAATTAATTAGTTTGTTGTTTGTTTTCTGTTTTTAAACAGTAATGATATGTAATGGTCGAAAAGAAAGTGTGATTACCTTTTCTTCTTCCATTCTGTTCTCTGCACAATAATTTATTTTGTAAACTTTTAGTTCATAATGTGAAAGAACCTCCTAATCGATCAAGTATGAACAAAAAGCAGAATATAGATTGGTTTTTTTGATCGTGTGAGAAGTTATTCTTATTTAGAATCAGTAGATGCAGCACGACTATGTCGACGTCAACAAAAAGATATACAAAAAAGTCATATTGAACCAAAATCATTAGAAGACTATGGATTACATTTTCAAAGTAAATTATCATTTTTTTGCTTTTTTGACATTTGAAATTAATCAGATAGTTTACAAATATTTTCATTATAAAATAAAATTTTAGACATAAATTACTAATGAGTTTGTATGATAAATTATATCTTTATTAAATAGATGACAAACTTGTTTCAATAATTGATGGTAAACCATTTGAGTTTCATGTATCTCCAAATAAAGAAGATAATTTTGAACGATACAATGCAATTGGTCGATTAGTTACTAACTATATATATGATCTATTAGAGAAAGAATGCCATTTGAAACGTATAACAATACCTGTATGTAGATTTATAGTTGAAAAAAATTCAAAATTATTTAATAAATATAAAAAAAAAAAAGGAAACAATTTATAATTAATTTTGTTCATCTATTTTCTATAAGCTTAAACCAAACAAATCGGAACCAACTGGATTTTTTTTTGCAAGTGATAATTATAATAGAGCTGAATGTCTTATGATAATTATTCATGGTACAGGAGCTGTACGAGCTGGTCAATGGTCACGAAGGTACTTTATTTCATTTGTTTTCTTTAATGAAATTTCTGTTTTTTTATTAGATTAATCATTAATGAAAATTTAACAATTGGTTCACAACTTGATTATATTAAACAAGCTCGAATGAATAATTATGGTGTAATCGTTATGAATACTAATTTAAATAAAGATGAATCTTCTGGATCAAATTATAATGTAGAACAACGTATTCGTGTAAGTTTAAAAATATGTATCAAATGTATTTCTTTAGTTATATATAATTACATTGATATTGGTATTGTTCGTTGATGAAGAAGTAAATATTTTTTACGTTTTGATAATACTAATGGTAAAAAATGAACACTTTCAACTAGAATAAGTACAATTGTTAAAATTAATATACATGGTATAAATGCCGATGTTATTTCATTTTCATTCGAATTACGATTCTGAAGAAATTCAATTGAATTTTATAATATTAGAGAAAATCTAGTACTAATATTCTTGTGAAATTAAATTATAAAACATGATCTAGCTGTTCTTACTAATCACAAGGAAATTATTTTTATTCTTTATATACCAATATTCCTTCTATTGAATATTTTTTTGCTAAAATTATTCGAAGCATTTTTTTTTTGGGAATCTGTGAGACTTTCTTCGCTTTGGATACTCATACATTTTCGTCTGTAATTTATTACATATGTTAATCGATAGTTTTCTATACATTTCAAATATATCTGCTTACAATAGCACAAGTAAAATATTTGATAGATTCACTTTTAAATTCAAAAATTGTTTGTCGTCGTTTTCTTGATAATTGTATTAAATAATTATTTAAATAAAAATATTTTTTCATTGTTGAATTCATCGAATATATTATAGTTTGTTTATTAAATTTTATTCGATTATAATTTATAATAGATATTAATTTTTTTGATTTGTTATATAAATAAGAAATAATAAAATAAAATTAATATTTGTTAATAAAAAACATAAATTATAATTTAGAACGAAAAATAAATTTTGCGCTTTTCAAAAAAAAAAAAAAATGGATCATTTATTTTTAGGGTAGTTCATGTGCTGAAGAACATGCTTGTTATATATGGGAAAATTTTGTTCGACTATGTCAGGCTCGTCATATATGTATTATGGCACATTCCTATGGAGGTGCTGTTGTTCTTGAATTGGTTTGAAACAATACATATATATATCATTTATATCTCTTTTTTTGATAATCTTTTTCAGGCTGCAAAATATACGATTGAATTTAATATAGGTGTTTTTGCTGTAGCATTAACAGATTCACCTATGAAAACTTATACAAAACATGTTAAGAAAGATGTTTTAACAATGCTCAAAAAAGTTTTAATTTACTAATATAAAAATTTACGTTTAAAAAAAAATTTTTTATTTTAGAGAACAATTAATTGGGTAGCTGATAATCATACGGTAAATACTCATTTAGCCAATAGAGATTATGGTGAAATACGTTCAGCAGGTTAATATAAATTATAAAAGATATTTTAAAAATATAATTTTGATTGTATTATAAATAGGACATTTATTACATGAATGGACATCACATACAGCTTTTCCACATATATTCAAATTTTTTGAAGATGAACGTAAAAAATTAAGAATGATATAAAATATTAATTAAATGATTAAAATCAAGAATTTATTTTGTGATATTTTATTTATGAACAGTTTTGTTTTTTTTGTAAATTTTCTAATAAATTAATTAAATAGTCAACGATATTTTTCTTTTCATTCAATGATTATTGATTATCTCACCAAACAAAAAACATATATTTTTTTTTTCAAATCAATTATTTTAGGTACGTGAAATAATTGCTTTTTAAAAATCGTTCGTCATTGATATTTTCATCCAAAAATTGAAATTTGATATTTACTTTAATTTATTTTTAAATAATAAAATCTCTAATAGCAAAGATTAGTTGTAGTTTTATGAAAGTATTAAATTTTATAAAAACATATCTCTAATTGCATTTCTTTCATATGCAATAAATTTTCGAAAGATTTTTATTATTGATTAAGGACAAATATCAATTCATTTTTAACAATGATCAAAATTAAAATGAACGTTGTGTAGTTAGTTCTATGACCAGTAGTACTAGGTGATGGTGTACTTGGTCCTGTACCGATCGTTCATATACGATTGAATGAACGATGAGTAGATGTACTAGCTGCAGCTGTTGTTATACGAGCAGTACTTGTGCTTGTAGGTGGTCGTGATGTTGTTGAATCAGAAAGTTTCAAACAACATTGACCATGAAGACTACTGAAATGAAGATGACATTCATGTGAACTTGGACAATCACGATGATCGACAGTACCACAATTATAACCAAATATTGGATCAAGACAAAGTCTAGGTGTCTTACGACATGAACAATATGGACAGCCTTGTGCATCTACTTCAAAACCATATGGACATGCAATCATACATAGAACTGGTCTACATTCGAGGGCATTTGTTGTTGTAAAAATAACAAATAAAATAGCAGAAACGAGAGTAATGGAATACATTGTTATTATTCTATTAACTTATTCTTTCGAAAAGTAATCTAATAGAAATCAATACTAGCTATCTTATACAATTCGATTTGTTCTTAACAGATGGTAATATTCTCATATTGATAATAATGTGAAGTTATTCTGTGATATATCTATTGACATATATTTATAGAAAATCTATTTTTATTTTTTGAGAAATAAAATCATAAAATATTTCTAAGTTACTACTTTTTTGATCAAATAAATAATTTTCATGTTAAAAACTAACTAAATGATTAATAGTTTTCTTTTTTTTTTCTGTACTATTGAAAGATAAGAATCTTAACTAAAAGGTTTAGGAAATTCTATCAATTATTTTAATGGATTGATTTAATCTTTTATTAGATAGAATAGACTTAATCATTAGAATTTGAATGAAAAAAAAAAATCACTTTTGATATTATTTTCAACAACTAGAAGAAAATAATCTTATCTATACTATATATTATTTAGATATTACTACAAGGTTGAATTCTCTAAGGATATTTGACATATGATTGTTTTTTTGAAAACAAAAAAAATGTATATTCATATAAACACATAATTTTATTACGAAAAGAAAAAAGATTATACTTTTCTTTATATATTATAATGTGAATAAAACATGTAATTATAATTGTTATGCATCATTGTCAATACAGTAAATCACATAGTGTTTGTTTATTCTTTATGTCATCAATTGATTCACTTGATTGCAAACTTCTTCGTCTTCTTCGTTTTTTCTCTTTTTACTATCAGCCTTTTGGCATCGTGCTGTTGTCAAGGATTATCGTTTTCTCTTCTTTTTCTTTTTTTTTTGCTTGCCTTAAGTGATTGTGTTGTCATTTTGTTCATTCTAATCGATTTCATTAGAAATATAGGTTTTTATTCTTTGTTTAGTTTTGTTTCATCATATTGTTTATTTATATCAAAATAATAAATAATAATAATACACCTTTAGGATATCATTTAAGATAACTAACTAGTATTACTAGTAGTACATATTATAGAACAGCTTCTGTCAGGACCAATGTAGATAGCTATCTTGATGATTCGATAAGTGCTTTGTAGAGCTACGTAACATATTTCTGTTTGTTTTCATTCCCCTAACGTTGAAAACAATCTGTCGGATCCATTTGCGTCTCAGTCGTCATCGTTGTTACTTTACATATGAAACACATACACAGAGAGAAAACGTTTCTGTCACTCGGGCATTTGACAGAAGTATCATGCTGCGATATATGATCGTGTCATATACAAGAAAAGAACTATCTATTGGGAAATCTTTTCTGTGAAGCTTTAAATAGACATGATGTCATACTATATAAGTATGTGTGTGTGTGTGTGTGTATGTATTTTCACTAATGAACTGCCACTACAAAGATCGATATCCATATTGTAGACACATTGTTGAGCAATACTAATCTATAATAGCATGCTTTCCTTTTCTTGTTCTCTCTCTCTCTCTTACTTAATGCACGACTCAGTAGATCATCATTCATTGTGTCAGAGTATAAGAATAGTCAAAAAGTGTGAAGAAACATTTGTGCTTATATACCTTCTATATATATAGACACTAATGACTCTCGTACCGTATGTATGTATACATTTGTATATATACACATAAAATTGGCTTGGTATTGAGCTTTAACACCCCACCCAGTTTGTGCATATCCGATGTTTATTTACAATGCGTGTGATATGATGAGACTTAGCAGGCGGTCCATGACGGTCTATTTTTTATCCTGTTTGAACTTTGATTATTCTTATGTTCTTTGTTTTTCTCTAGCATTCACTTATGTATATACACATATAAAGAACATCATCATCATCATCATCATCATCATCATTACCGTACTCAAGTTAGATCAACATAGACGAGGTGCTTAGAGAAACAGAAAAGAAAAGAAAAGAAAAAAAAAATGATGGTCAATCAGTAACGTTTGCCACTTGCCATGATTCAATTTGCAAATCGATCATACTTCCTTTCCAATAGATAGATTGCATCGTCTTCTTCTCTCTTGTCAATTATCTTAATATCTTGATACCTTCAACTCAACGGGCCGTTCTTTCACACTTCTCATCTCTCATTTCTAATTCTATCCTATCCATCGTCAATGTCTGCTGTCTTTTTTTTTCTTATTTCTCTCGGTTTTTTTTTTGACTCTTGCTTCTATTTCTTCTTTAGCCGAAAATTATTTATCATTGAATGCAATAGATGATTAGTGGAGTCTATGGTTGTCTTTACTTTTGTATGTGTGTTCTTGTTTCTATATGACGATATACGGTACGTATAAACGATGACTTGTATGTTATGTGGCACCACATGCCAAAGAATTAGTGGTTAAAAATGTATAGGCAGCAGCAGCAGTAGTAGTAGTAGTAACAACAGAAAAATCATACCAAAAAATACTGACGATAGAAAAAGGGAACGGACAGGAGAGAGCGAGAACGGTTACGGGAGGAGAGGGGGGTGAGAGAAGAAAAAGAGAGAAAGAAAGAAATCAACCGCTTGCATCGTACGTAATCATTCATGCTATGCTACTACTCTATTGCTACTGGTAGCAGTGTCGAGAGAAATTTTCTCCTTCATTTCTCTCCTTACTCGTTTGATCATCCATATAATTACGATCACTCTAACAGTGTTTTGTACAATCGTTCGAAATAATCATAAGAAGTCAGGTGTGTAGTGTGAACAAAGAAAAAGAAAAACAACGTAACAATAGAAAAAAGGAATAGTTTGATTTTCTTTTCTTTTTGTGCTTGAATAAATTTTAGGTGAATATCCTTAACAAGGTCATACACGCAAATTGATAATCACCCGGGCAATTAGGTTTTCTTATATACATATATATATATAATATAATCAGCTTATAGCAGAAAGAAAAAGAAGCTCGAAAAGTGGCTGACCTTTTTCTTATTCTATATACGATGGGGGATATGAAGACGGTGTCTTTGAGTATGTCAAAATGTTTTTTTCTGGCAATAGAGTAATATAAGACAGTTAATTATGAGAATAACAAGATAGTACTTGCATTGCAAAATAAGCCTTCAGGTCTATTTATACGTTATATATACATATACATCCTGAAAAGCTTTCTTTTCCTTTTTTTTATCTTCAGATTCTATTAAAATAACTAAATAATGTTATCATCATGTAATCAAATATTATTATTATTATTATTAATTATTAATATAATAAATTCATTTATTTTCAAGTTTGATTTAACGTGAACAATAATATATAATATAGTAGAATAATGTTTTTAGTATTATTTATTATTATTTATTTAAATTTATTTCTTTTCAATATAACATTATCATCATTATCAAATACATTAGTTTTTTCAGCTGGACCTAATTCATATGTTGCATTCGATTCATGGCGTCCATGTCTTAATGGTTATGTTCGTTTTGATATACGAACAAATGCAAATGATGGTACACTTGCATATATAGATGATCGTGGAAAATTTGATTTTTTTTATTTAAAATTAATTGAAGGTAAATTACGTCTTTTATTTAATTTGGGAAATGATCGACAAGCTTTAAATGTTAATATGAAAATAAATGATGATCAATGGCATACGATTTTAATTAAACGTGATGGACAAACAACAATACTTAGTATTGATAATGATTTAATATCAAATTCAACAATAACATATTCAGAAGATTTATATTTTGGTGGTACAACACATAATGAATATCAAGCATCACCATTTTATTTTGGAGGTAAATTAAATTTAAATAAAAAAATTTCATTTGAAATAAAATATATCTATATTAGTATGTATATGTATAGAAATAAAATAATTACGGAAGGTCATTATGAAACAAAACAGAATGTCATAAGAAATAAACATATTTTCTTAGATAATTTCTGCTTAGTTATAATGGAAAAAACTATATGTATCGAATTGGTTTTTTTCTTTTTTTGAGAGAACTCATTAGAATATAAATTGTAGGAAATATGTATATCAAAGGTTTATTGGCTTATTTTTTTTTTTGTATTGAAACTATCAACGGAAAGACAATCATCCTTTCTTTCCGAAAAGGATAAAATTCTATTAAATATGTATTTTTTTTTTGTTTTATCCATAGTCATAAATACTCTAGACAAGATGAAAAATTTTAAAATAATTTTATATTGCATAATTCAATAAAAATACTATATTCTATGTAGAATATTTAATGAACTTAGTTAAAAGAAAATTCCGAAAGACGAATAAAAATCATTTCTGTTTTATGTGTGTAATTTGTAAAAATAAGTTTTATTCTCTCATGATTTAATATCAAATTACTTTTTCTTTTTCCAGGTATACCAGCAGCATTAGAACGTCCAAGTAGTGGAAATTTATCCTCATTTGATGTCTACATGCAACCACGTTTTCGTGGTCGATTACGTAATTTAATTTATAGAAATTGTACAAATTCTCGTCTTATACAACCTGTTCATTTACAAATCTCAGGTGGTGTATCATTATTACAAAATCATCATTGTTCAAGTCAATTATGTCGTTTTGGTATATGTTTAATAACAGATACAAATTATAAATGTTTATGTGATGAAACAGATTATCATGGTGAACATTGTGAATATGAACGTAAACCAAATGAATTAACATTTAATGGTAAAAATTATTTAATATATAATTTTAATCAAACATTATTAAGTATAAATGAAATAATACAATTTCAATTTAAAACAAATCATTATAATGCATTATTATTTCATATAATTGAACAAAATTTATATATTAAATTAAAACAAGGACAAATTATAATTGAATATCGTTTAAATAATCAATTATATGAAACATCAACAAAAGATCTTTATCTTATTGATAATCAATGGCATTATATACAAATAAAACGTAAATATGAACAAATAATTATAATGATTGATGAATATCATTTACAATTAGATAATGATATTAAAATTGAACAATATAATAATTTAAAACAAATATATATTGGTGGAAATAATAATGAAAATTTTGAAAATTTTTATGGTTGTTTAAAAGATATAACAATAATAATAAATGATACAATAAAATATTCTATAAGTGATTATTTTTTAAATAAACAAATAAATAATGATAAAACATTACGTTGTTCATCATTATTAAATCCAATTGAATTTCTTATATCATCATCATATATATCATTTGATTTATTTGAATCTATACAACAAATGATAAATTATCAATTAAATATATCATTTCATTTTCAAACATATTCATCTGATGCTATATTATTATATTGTATTAATAAATATAATAATGATTTTCTTGGTTTTGATTTAATTGATGGATTTTTTTATATAACAATTAATTTAAATAATAAAAAACAACGTCAAGAATTATTTCAACAACGTTTTAATAATGGACAAACACATTTTATTTTTTTACATATACAAGGTTATCAAGGTGGTTTAGAATTTAATATAACAATGAATTATAGACAAAGTACAAGAATTATTATTCAACATATTTCATCGAAAATTCATGTAAGTTATTACAAATATATATATATAATTTATTTCCGATATTAAAAAAAACACAAATTTTTAGATTTTATGTAGTTCTAAAAATAAGATCATCAAATCTACTATCTTAAAAAATATGCTATTACTATAAGTGTACACATAAAAAAAATACCCTACAGATATAATATCTCTAAAGTAATAAGCTAATGTCACGAATTCCTTTTAAAGATTACATAAATCATTTGGACCTATATAATAAATATGGTCATCACTCAAACGCAGAACTTCATTTGTAGGTTTCATAGCGAGTATCATTATATGAAGATATCGTGCTAAAACAGTACTCATAGTCTATATTAGACATCGACAAGATACACTTGCACTGTCTTGCATTGTTACTCATGCTTGGGTACATCACACGACTTTTTTCTTATATTGTTCTGTTAACACATTTCGCTATACTTTATTAGTTTCTTTAGAAGATTCTAAAGTATGTAATAATAAAGATCGTGCTTAAGTGTTGTATCAATAGTGTAAGATCATCTGTAGAATTATATTAGGTACAATAGATTTCTCTTTATTTTCAACTCATTTGATTGATTTCATTTTTTTGATGTCTCTATCTCATAATATTTGACATTCATTCAATTATCTCTATTGTATATCAATTTATAATAAAATTAATTAAGTAAAGAAAACAAAGAAACTTAAACTTATTAATATTGCGTAATTCCACAATGATATGTAACAATTGAAAAAGCATCTTATATATTAATATGAACTTTGTGTATATGACAGCTGTATGCGACAGTTGTATATGAAGATATAGTAATGTATATGACCATGAATTATACATCTGGGAGAATTGTTTTATACAAGGACAAATAAATTCCAATCAATTTCAATATTGATAGATTTATAATTAATAATAAAAAAAAAAAATTTTCTTTTTTTCCTAATTTATTATATCATTGATTATAGTGGATAAATAGATATTTAATAAAAAAAAAATGAAAGTAAATAATTATCTTGATTTATATAATATAACAGCATGCTTAGATAAATAGTTACTCATTTACTATCTATGGATAAAAATCGTCAAACCATCTGGTCAGTCTATCATGAATACAACAGATGAATAAACAATTATAGTCATTATCTTAACTAATGATTATAATCAATTGATATTTCTTTTTTTTTTTTTATCAATATTTTTAGTTACATACATTAACTATTGGTGGTATTAATCCAAATATACAATGGTTACCAAATAATTATTGGTCTGGTATAATGCATCGTGGATTAATTGGTTGTTTTTCAGATCTTGAATTAAATAATGAAGCAATTAATTTAACGAAATATATTAATTATACAAATAATAATATAACACCAAAAAGTGGTCCATGTTTAACAACATTACCATTAAAACATGAATGTTTATGTGAACATGGTGGTGAATGTCGATTAAATAATGATGGTAGATGGTCATGTGATTGTTCAAAAACTGGTTATACGGGTAGACGTTGTGAACATGCAACATATTATATTGATTTAAATAAAATTCATATATTTGAACTTAATACACATTTACAATGGAGTGAACAAATAAATGATATTTCATTTGGATTACAAGTATGTAAAATAATAAGTTAGAAATTAAGATACAGTGGCTTCAAAAATTATTCATACAGGTGTAATATCGATTTTTTTTTTCGGAATGGTAACTCACATTGAGAATCCAAACCAGAATCTCTAGAAAACCAAAAACCTATTTTTTCAGCACCCAGACCCCGAAAATAAAAGTTTATTTTTATTGCACAAGATGATAGAGCAACAAATTCTCTACAAAATGAGATGTCTCCGAGCTTTCCACAATAATTTTTGACTGAACTGCATCAGTTTTAAGAAACGCCCTAAAGTGCTTTTTGTCCGATTTTCCCATAGGAAATGATGAAAAAAAAACCGTTTTTGGACGTTTCTTAAAACTGATGCAGTTCAGTCAAAAATTGTTGTGGAGAGCTCGGAGACGTCTCATTTTGTAGAGAATTTGTTGCTCTATCATCTTGTGCAATAAAAATAAACTTTTATTTTCGGGGTCTGGGTGCTGAAAAAATAGGTTTTTGGTTTTCTAGAGATCCTGGTTTGGATTCTCAATGTGAGTTACCATTCCGGAAAAAAAATCGATATTACACCTGTATGAATAATTTTTGGAGCCACTGTATGTACATAATTGAATAAACTTTAAGAAAATTATTGAGATTCTGTTGGTCTATATCAATCTATTGATGTAATCTAGTAGAATCAGTTGAGATAGAATTTTTTACGAATTAATTTGAATTCTAAATTTAGACAAAAATTCAAGAGTATATGTCAAAGTTCATGTGACCCACACTCAAAAAAAACGAGCTTCAAACTACTTATATCAATTACAAAAATAGTTGTAATTTTGATTTATTCGATATATTTGAAATGAATTATTTTGATTCCTTTGACAATATACCATAAGGTTATAACACAATTAGAGTTCGTGAGTTTCACACTTTAGTCTCTCATGAGAATATAATGACAAGTTTTTTTTTTTCCAGACAAAAAAAGCGGCAAATTTTCGTGATTTTTCTTTTTTTTTGATTGTGTGTATTCCAGAATTCTCAAAGGAGTTTCATTGAAGTCGATTATTTGAAAGAATCGTGCTTGTGATTATTATTTTTAATTTCTATTCGATTTTTGTTTTTTGTTAGGCTATACATGATCAAGAAAATTTTCTTGAATTACGTTCATGTCATCAAACAATAGAATGTGATTCAATAAGTTTTTCAATACGTAATGGTTTATTAAAAATTATTTTTCATTATTCAAATATAATAATTAATATAACAGGTGAACATCCATTTATACTTGATAATCAATGGCATTATATTCATTTATATCGTATTGATACAAAATTATTATTACATATTGATCATCATATATCACAACAACGTATAAATATTATTGAAACAAATCAAACATTATTATCAACAATATGGTTAATATTAAATGGTAATAAACAAATATATATTGAAGATTTACGTATATATGATCAATCAATAAATTCAAAATTTTTTTTATATAATCAATATGAACAAATACAATTAAAACAACGTATATGGAAACCTTTAAATTCAATATCATTTTATGAACAACAAGATTCATATATAACAATATCATTAAATGATATACTTTGTCAAGAATGTGAATTAGATACAATTTATTTTGATTTTCGTACAACAGAATTAACTGGTTTAATATTATTTGCTAATATTCAAACAAATAATCCAAAAATGAGGTAAAAATAAATAATATCATAAATATATATTTATATATTTTCATGACAGTTATTCTAATGTATAATCTAATAAGAATACAATAAATCAAATCAATCGAAATATATAATTCTAGAGAGAGATGATCTAAAAAAAGTGTTAATGAATTTGAAATTTCGGAAGAGCAAACCATGTAGTTTGTTGCGCGATGATCGCGAGTCTCCCTCTGGATAAAACACTGATTTACGAAATAATAAAGATGAGTTGTACTAATTTGAATAGAAAAAACAAAATCATTAATTTACTTATCTATGATATGCAATATAAAGAATAATATTATCATTTTGTTATTTTTTCTAAGATCTAATTCTAATGATATGAAAATTCTTTTTGTTTTTCTTTTGAAGTTATTCATTAAGTAATACAATTGAAAAAGATGGTCAATATTTAATAATAAAATTAATTGATGGACAATTACATTTAATTGTTATTGTTGCATCATTATATGAATATGAAGATGAAATATATCATATACAAACAAAAACACGTTTTAATGATGGTTATTGGCATCATATATCATTACATCGTGCTAGTGATTATCATTTAGAATTAATTATTGATTCATTTGAATATTATTTATTAACATCAATACATTTTATTGATACAATTTATTTTGGTCGTCCATCATTTTTATCATTAGATAGTTTACCATTTAATAATACAAATACATTAAAAACATGTTTAGCATCATTAACAATAAATAGTCGTACAATTAATTTACATGAATATATTAAAACAAATATACATATACGTAATGATTGTTTTCTTGAATCACAATGTCCATTACGTTATTGTCAAAATACAGGTATATGTATTGATCGTATTAAATGTAATTGTCAACATACAAGTTTTCAAGGAGATTTTTGTACGGAATTACGTACAGGATATTTTTTTAATGAATATATATCTGGTTTAATATTTGATCAACCATATCAAATTGATTATAAATTAATAAATTATAAAATATCATTTGGTATTGTAACAAAAATGATAAGTGGTGAAATAATACGTATTAGTGATCAAATACAAATTGAATTATATCGTGGACGTATTAGAATAAAATTAATGATAAATATAAATAATGATAATGGTTATTTAGATAATGATATTATGGTTAATGATGGTTATTATCATTTAATACAAATTCATTATAATTCAACTGGTTATTTAAATTTAAATGTTGATAATAAACCAACTTTTAAACAATTAACATATCGATTATCATTTGATAAACCATTATTATTATTAATTGGACAAAATCCAGCATTTAGACATGGATTTCAGGTGAGAGAGAGATCTAGTCAACCATGAGATAACCTGAAAACATCTATGATTTTTTTTTTCAATTTGAAAACTCTCTCATCATAAACTATTGACACAAAGGACTGTCTCTATGTGTAGTTGCAAATTGAAATTTTAAAATCGTGCACTCAGAAAGACTTCGACACTGAATTAAACTATACCGTAAAAATTCAAAATCTAGGCAGAAATAAACTAAGACTCGGAATCCTTTTTTATACTATCCATTACGTGTTAGATCATGTACATAATTCGGACCCAAAAGCAATTAATCATTTGTGGGACTTCACTCGTTAGCTTATACGATATCCGACAGCTGCCATCACTGAGTAACTATGTTGTTCGCCACGTATCTCCCAGCCGTAGAATGATTCTGGACAAGTCACTAATGGATGTATGAAAGAAGTAAAAGAACTCGGTGTTAGACGAGCATACCGCAAGATAGAATTATTCTTCCTATATGATCTTCATTAATCGCTCTTATTTACAATAAACAATAAAAAAACAAAAAGTAAATTGTTTTTTTTTTCTCTCTTCTTAACAGCTTCAAATTTCTAATTTAATATTTAAATCTAAATAATTTTTATTCTTTTTTTTTTAGGGTCAACTTTATGGTCTTGAATCTGATATCTATCCAGTTTTTGATATGATTTCCCCAACATTCCAACGTATATCATATTCACCCATACAAGATAAAATATTTTCATCATCATCATTATCATCAATTATTTATCCATCATCACAAGATCAAAATGATTTAATATCTTCATTATGTTCATCTCAATCCAATGATGATATTTGTATAATTACATCTGATAGAAGTTCACGTTATTTAACATATCCTAATGTAACACTTTTAAAATTTACACCAACAAGTAAACATTTATCAACAACAACATCAATAACTTCTTCAATTATATCTCGATATATATCATCATCATATTCAACTTCAACAATTTCATATCAAATTTATAATTTTTCAACATTAACATCATCATCAAATTATCTATTAAATACAACATATTATGTTGAAAACCCACCATTAATTGTTTCAATACGTACACCAACATCAAATAGATCTCGAAAAATTTTTTATCGACAAAAATTTTGGATTATTTTAATTCCTATTTTATGTGGAATAATATTATGTTTATTATTTATAATATGTGCTTTTATAAAATATCGTCGAAAAGATGTTGGTGTTTATGAAGTTGAAGAAGCTCAACGTTTTCGACCATTAATTGTTGAATTAAATTCTTCATCCGGTGAACGTAATCAAGATAATTTTAATTCAACAACAACAACAACATTAACAAAACATATATCAAAAAAAGATCATATTAAATCACATAAAAATCGAAAACGAAAAAAATCTCCATTAACTACAACTGATGAACAGCGTGAATTTTATATTTAAGTTTCTTGTTTTCTTTTTTTTTTTTTTTTCTATATAATTATTTCGTACTATTTTCTTGTTTATTTCGTTTGAACATATAAACACACACACAAGCTAAATACAAAAAAAGAAAAAAGAATATTTGTAACTGTTGTGTAAACAGTGATAAATTGTTTAACTTATATATATTATCTAATGATGTGCAGTAAACTATAACAGACATATTCTTCTTATCAGTTATTGACATGTGTAAATGAGCACAAAATAATCTTTGACAAGACAAGACAAAAAAAAAAAAACTGATAGAAACGAAGATAAATTATTTGTTAATTAGATATTCTAAAATAAGTTTTCTGTTAACTATTAACGTAATCCCATGTGAAATTAAAATATAAAACTTGATGTAGTTGTTGTTATTGTTAATTAAAGAAAAATTGTTTTATTGTATCTATTTTGGGATATATATATTTCTTTTACGCAAATTTCTATAAATACAATAAAGATGTAGTTTGTATATTAGAACGTGATATTATTGATATATGATCTGTGATTGTATATTAACAATGTCTATCACAGTCTATTCGAGTAGGTCGAAATTTTTATTCCTATACTTCAATACTCTATTTAGATCAGATTTCATAAAATCGTTTAGATTAATATATATATATATTAGATAGAAGACCTAATTTTCTTTTGCTATTTTTATCTGATTGACAGTAAACTGCATGATAGAAATTAACTGCACGTCATATAGTTCCTCTGTGAAATGCAAAATCTACATTATTGTTCGGAATATCAATAGTCTATTGAAAAAAAAAGTAATTATAATGATCTAATCTATTTCATCATACTAAAGTTTTGTTATAATATATCCGATACCAGGAGATGATTTAGACATATGGAAATTACTTTTTGTTATTTGTCTTTAAAAAAAATTCAATGCTCCTGTAGATATAGATTAAAAAAAGAACAATATTATTCTGCGATGAATAATTAGGATACTTTTACGACATACACACCCACACATAGTACTTGTATTATATAATACAAGATGATGACAGTTAAGGCGGTGCGCGTCATGTCAAAGTATCCTAGTATTCAAAATAATACATAACCAGTGGTTTTCTTACACCTTTTTTATATAAACAACGTGTTATTTATTTAACAAAAAAAAAAATTGCCTGTTAGTTTACATTTGATTTCATACAAAATAAGAATATATGTCAATTTAATATGATAGAATGCATTCTTTGCTGCAATCTTTCATATTTTCTTTTGTATATTGATGACATCTATTTCTATTTTATTAATATCATATACTGATAATTGATGCTTAATATAGAAAAAAAAAAAAAAGGTTTGTTTTATTGCGTTCTATTCGACATTTCTATCAATATAAAAATAAAAAATAAATAAACCATTAAAAATTGGTCATGTGAACTAAATTTCATTCGTAACTATCAATATGCACTGATAGTTTTTTACATTGATAGTATCGCTTAATAATCACTCATCGAATAATATCTTATATTAGTAAACAGAATATGAGTCATATTTCCCGTGTATATATGATGTTAATAAATAAAAATTATAAACCAATCGATTGTTGTTGAACGAAAAAGGCAATAAGATTTTTTTTTTTTTTTTGTTAAATAATATACAATCGTGTATTTATGATTGATTTTTGTTCCATAAGCATGTGACAAAAAAGAAAAAAAAAGTGAATAAAAAACAACATATAAACAGAGATTCTTATCGATCTTTTCTTTTGCTCGTTTCTTTTTCTCTCTCTAATTTACATATACACCTTTATATTTTTATTGTCAATAAAAGATCCTGCTGTTTTCAGTCACATTTATTTTTTTAGATACACCATGTATTCAGTTAATCGTTAAATACAGTATACATCTTTATATATATAGATTATTATTTAAATAGAATAAAATAAACTTAGAATGGGTCAAACACTATCCGGTAAAATAAAATAAAATAAATTATATTTTGAAATATTGTTTTTTTTTTCTTTCTTCATCCGTTCATTTTCTATAGAACCGGTCACTTCAAAAAATTCTCAAAAAGTTGAAAATCATTTATATTCTGTAGGCAGTAGTAGTATGCAAGGATGGCGTATAAGTAAGTAGTTTTTTTTTCTTAAATAATTTACATTATTTAATAAGTTGATTTATTTAGATATGGAAGACGCACACACTCATCTTTTATCCTTACCTGAAGATAAAAACTGCACATTTCTTGCTGTTTATGATGGACATGGAGGTTTTACAAAAAAAAAAAATAAAATGTATTACATCTGAAATTTATTCGTATATGTTTTTTTTATTTAGGAGCAAAAGTCGCACAACATTCATGTAAACATTTACATACTCGTATCGCTAATCAACCTGAATTTAGTTCGTAGTTTTTATCTTTTTTAATTTTTTTAATAAATATATTTTAACTTTTTTGTTTTTTTTCTTAGAACAAGGAAATATCGAAGCTGCTATTCGAAAAGGTTATATTGAATTTGATAAAGAGATGTCTTTAGATGAAGATATGCGAGAAGATCTAGCGGGTACAACAGCTATATGTGTTATAATTAAAGATCAAAAACTTTATTGTGTATGTTGAATAACAAAAAAAAAACGATCAAGAACAAAAAATCTAATATTTAGGGTAATGTTGGTGATAGTCGAGCAATAGCATCAGTTAATGGTAATGTTGAAATACTTTCTGTTGATCATAAACCAAATAATGATGATGAAAGAAAACGAATAACAGCTGCTGGTGGTTGGGTAGAATTTAATCGTGTTAATGGTAAATAATTGATTTAATAAAAAAAAAAAAAACAGTTATTTTTTTTTTTCATCAATAGGTAATTTAGCATTGTCTCGAGCATTAGGTGATTTTATATTTAAACGTAATACGGATAAACGACCTGAAGAACAAGTTGTTACTGGTATTAGAATAAGAAAACATTAAATTTTTAATATTAATGCTAAAAATTTTTTTTTCAGCTGCTCCGGATGTTATTTGTAAAACAATGACTGATGATTGGGAATTTATATTAATTGCTTGTGATGGTATATGGGATGTACTTAGTAATGAAGAAGTATTAAAATTTGTTCGAGTTAGAGTTGCTCAACAAATGCCACCTGAAACGGTAGAAAAAAAAACGCAAACTTATAATAATAATAAATCTTAAAAGATCATGATTTATTTATTTATGTTTTTTTATTTTTTGAGATCTGCGAAGAACTCATGACACGTTGTTTAGCACCAAACTGTCAAATGGGCGGTCTCGGCTGTGATAATATGACAGTAGTTTTATGCCTTTTACTTCATGGACAACCTTATTCAATGTTAGCAGCTAAATGTTCAAAAAATTTAGCTAATGGTGAAATATCATCATCAACATCATCATCAGCAGCTGAAACATTATCACCGAAATGAAGAAAAAAAAAAGGAAATAAAACATTTGTTTTTTCTTTTTTTCATACAATCCAATAATTGAACAATCTTTTTTTTTCTTTCTTTCTTTTTTTTTTTCATATTTGATAATATCACTGTGTTCCATCATTTTAGAACAGTATTGATTACTGTTATTGTCGGTGACAAGATCAAAAAACAAATACAAAATACGACTTCTTCTTTTTTTTTTTTCGTTTCTTTTCGTTCTTTATCTATTTTTTTTTTTTCTTATGAAAATGAGGACTGCTGATGTAAAAACACATTAGCGGTGTAAATTTATTTATATGCAAACAAGCGCGTGTGTGTGTGTTTATTCTGTATGACTATTATATATATATATAAATATATATACACATGAACATCAACTTTTGACGTGTGTATGGAAAAGTGAAAGAAATATGTTATTCTTTAACCAGACGCCTTCTTCCTTTTTATGGTTGATTAGAACTACAAAAAAACAACAACAAGGCGTTCATACTTCTTTGTTCTTTATTTCAATGCGTGCGTGTGTGCGTGCATGTTTCTTTAGTTGGCGAGTATATATCATGTTTTGAACTTTTCTTTTTCAACTGATGTGTGTATGTGTTTACATTTGGTTTTAACTTTTCTTTTCTTTACTGTCTTATAAATCAATGAAAACACATCACAAATCAAATGATAAACGTTTGAAAGATATTCATCACAATTTTAAATTAATCATTAACAAAAGTTTTAATTGAATTGTTAAGAAAAAAAAAATTTTTTTATTGACACAATTATGAGAAATTCATATAAGTTAGATAACAATAGAAATAAGAAAATTGATTATTATAACATGTATTCGAATGAAAGAAAGAATAGTAAATGGTAGTTTCTATTTACTAGATTTATATCATTCAATCCATATCGGAAGAAAAGATTAAATTATAAAACTTTCGAAAGAATTCCATTAGAGTTTTGTATCCGCTATAACTTGAAAATTAGCTATTGTTATATAGTGAATATGAACACAACATTTGTTAGATTATTTTTTTTTTCTCTTATTACTATCAGGAAAAAGAAAAAAAAAGAAAAAGAAAATATTTTTTTTTTACAGACTAATTAGTATCTTACAAAGTAAAAAGTCAGCTCTTTCTCAGCGAAAGAGGAGTCAATAGTTTTTTTTTTTTTTTTTTTGAATAGCCTAATCAAAAACTAGTATTCATTAAAAAGTCATATAAGTTAAAACTAATATTTCATGAAAAATAATTAGTCATCATGAATCGTTCATTTATTTATTTTTTTTTCAATAAATATATCACAAAAACAAAATCAATGCATTATTCATGTCAAAAAATTAATCTTATTTGATTGTCACATGAGTTTAAAAAGACTTTCTTCATAATCATAACAACAATTGAATCATACGGTTAGTTTCGTTCGGTTGTGTTGGATTTCCTTTTTCTTTTTTTTTTTATTATTTTTGATGATACTTATAAGTATACAAAACAAAAAACAAAAAAAAAACAACCAACAAATTTCTTTTATTATTTTTAATCTTCTTTCACTTGAGTTGTACCACGTATACGACCTGTTCG